TTTTACTTTTATTTTTTTTCATGCACTTTAAATTTATGCCTAGTAATCAAAGTAATAACAATAGTAATATATTTTATACAATATATATATATATATAAGTAGGTAAGAAAATAAAATTCATTTTTTTAGAACAACTATAAAAATAAGCTTGCTTCAAAAGTCTGCCTAAATGTTAGAGATTTTTTGGGAAATTCATAAATTACTAAAATGCTAAACTTTTTTTGTAATTTATAAAGATTTACATGAAAACTTTTCATGAAGTAATCTATTCTCGAATACCGCCTAGATGCTGGAGTATTTAGAAAATTTTATTTCATTAAGAATTTTCATACATTTTCACAACTAAAAATAAATTTATTAAATTAACAAGTGTAAAATAATACAAATAATGGGACTAAATTTTAAATATAAAAATTTACATCCAAACTATACTTACATGTTGGAGAATCCATGTGATTTCTTTATATTTGAAAACTTTATTCTTAAATTCATACTTGATCATCATTTTGCATTTGTTTCATTTTTAAATTAATGTCTTCATTTATAATGCATATATATATATATATATGTTTGCTCTAGTTATAGATGTTTAATATTAATTATATCATATTTCATTTTTTTTACACTAAAAGTTTTCTTAAAATTTTAGTTTTGAATAAATAAAATTAAAATAACATTTTCATGAAATATAATGGATTGGTACTCTGCCTAGATATTGGAGAGTCATCAATAATTATCATTTACAAAGAATGTTATTTTATTATTTTTTTAGAAGCAATATTATGATAAATCTTAATGAAAATACTGTCTTCAAATTTTGCCTTCATGTTAGAGACTTCGAGAATATTTCTTTTATTTGAAGATTTTCTTAATATTCTTAAATAAATTATTTTTTAACTAATTTCTCACAAAATGAAGGGAATTGTAATTAATTTCATACAAAAACCATTTCTCTCTGAAATTATAAATAACACATAATTAATTGGTACAAATTCTATGGGTGTTACGGGGTGCTAATTCTTCCCTACGTGTAATTGACTCATGAACCTAATTTTATTTTCATAGATCAAAATTATCTTTTTAATAAACTCATTGTTTTTATTAAAAAGATAAAAATTTTGGGTGGCCAATCACACTCCTAAAAAAGATTGGTGACGACTCCTCATATTTTGTCACAATTTATTTAAATTTTTACATCTAGCGATCGAGTACCCAGACTGATACGTTACGATAAGTACCTAGTGATGAACAGAATGTCGACTTAGGAAACTTTTTAGAGATTTGGGATACCTTTAAGAATAATGGCATTTCTGATGATGCCATTCACTTGCGATTGTTTCCTTTCTCTCTTCAAGATAAGGTGAAAAGTTGGTTGACTTATCCAACACCAAGTTCAATCACAACTTGAGATGAGTTGGCTAAAAGTTTTTTAGCTAAATTCTTTCCACCAGCAAAAATTGCAAAGATGAGGAATGGCATCACAACTTTCATATAGTTTGACTTAAAATCCTTGTATGAAGCATGAGAGAGATATACAGAATTGCTAAGAAAATGTCAACATCATGGGTTACCTAAATGGTTTCAAGTCTAAATTTACTATAACAGGTTGGTTGGACACACTAGGATTACCATTGTTACTGTTACAAGCAATGTGCTTAAGAGCAAATCCATTGATGATTCTTACGATCTGATCGAGGATATGGTTGCTAATGGTTATCAATGGTTAAATGAAAGGATTACACCTAAAAAAGTCATTGGGGTCATGAGCTCGATACCGTCACTGCTTTAACTTTGTAAATTACTACTCTAACTAAGAAATTTGATGCCTTAGGTCTTAGCCCACAATTTAGTCAAGTCTATGCTATCTAGAGTCCATTCATTGTTTGTGATATTTGTGATAGTAACCATTCAAATGATAGTTGTCCAATTAGGATCGAGTTTGTCCAGTTTATTATTTAGCCTAATTATAGTAAAAACAACTGTAATTCTAACACTTACAACTTAGGATGGAGAAACCACCTAAATTTTTCATGGAGTAACAATCAAGGCAAGCTATCAAACTCCAAACCCATATATCCATTAGGATTCTCTGTACAACCTCTTCAACCTCAATACTAGGCACACCATGCACAGCGTCGGGTGCGTGCAATCTTGTACACTCATTCACCTGCAATTCATGTTTTTGTATCTAACTTAATCATTTTCCCTAAAACTCACTATTTTCACATCATTTTATATATTAAAAAAAATCGTATTTCAACTCCTTTCAAGCTCCATAATAACAAAATAACAATTTGGAGCCAAAAATGCAAAAACGGAATCGGTTTCAAAAATTCAAGAACCAAAAGCTTCAACCCAAGCTCTATTGGTAGCACTAACAACAACAAAAGTGATTGGTGACCTCCACGATGAGTTTGGCTCTGATACCAATTTTTGAATTTGCCCAAAACCTCATCGAGTCACTAACACAAGTTATAATTAAAATTAAAAGTAACCTAGATACGAGTGAAAGCTCAATCCCATTAAATTGAGGTCCACAAAAGTGATGCCATTGTCCTTGCTTCTTGGTGCCTCTTTTAGGGGTCTAAATAGAGAGTTATACAAAAAGAAATGAGAGAGTTGCTCTTTACTCGAAACTAAAGTTATGAAACCTAATGAGTTGACCTCATATATATGAGAGCAAGAACCTTTTTTAACACATTAATCAAAATTGTCACATCCCATTATAAATCCAAATATAGAATTAAATTTGAATCAAACTTAGCAAATATCATACTACATGATCATGTATATTACAATATGGTATCACTATAATTACTTAGAATTTAACGTTAATTGACTTAAGTCCAGATAAGTGACTGTGTTAGTCTATAGTATGAGGTAAATGCAACACATACAACATTTCTTCCCTTTTGTAGGCATTCTTAAGTAACCTCCATCTCTTGGAAGGCCTTGTAGAAAAGTGATTGCCACCATCTCTTAGAGGACATTTGTTGTTCTCATCTTATAGACAACCACGCTCGACAAGCTCAAGACTTACAAGCTCTCGTCCATAAATTACCACCATGTCCCCTGATGATTGCAAGCAATAGCCTTTCATGGCCATCCAAGTCATTATCTTGTAAAATGCGAGCATATCCATCGGTTTCGCCTTTTTCTGTGTCGTAGCTGATGGCCAGGCATTTGTTTATTTCACTAAATCATGGGCATCCATTTGTAAGTCAGAAAAGGACTTGGCTTCTATTAACAATTTCCAACCAAACTATTTGAAGGACTTAATCCAAGATCCTTAAGACATTTGGTCCATTTTTCTCAAGCAAAAAGCTAACTCGACAGAATTGGTTAGCATTATTTCATTATGTGATTTGCTAATTCAATGTCAACAAATTGAAAAAGGTTGATCACAACATAGTGTGTGGAAGAGAATAAGAATGAACCACTAAAGCTATTAACCTTTTTAGTAAACATTGCTTACATGTGGGTTTGTGCCATGAAAATGCAAAAGACTGAAACTTCTCATCTCCTTTTAACTGATGGTGAAGAGACATGCCATTTTATTTGCCAAGCAAATTGTAGAAACCAAGATTATGCCCACAAAATATTTCAGAAATTATCCACAACCATGTTTTGCAACTGCTAAAAAGAGCAAGCTACTTGGAGAAATGGGGATTATTGTCGCTGCAAAAAGGTATCTTAAGAGAAACTATGGAGTGGGAAAAAGGACAATTGACAGGCACAAAAGTGGGTATCAAGAGTAAAAAATGTAATCACTAAATCTTCAAGCTTTGTTATAGTTACTGAGTTGACAAAATTGCGAGTCTACGACAAAGATTTGGGTGGGGAAGACCAACAAAAAGTGAGATCGCTCACATTGGCTATTTTAGATCTTCTTGTATGGCTAACAGTAGGGAAGAAGATGGTGTTGAATTCAACTTAGCACTTGTTGCAGATTAATTGGATAATTTCAATATTTTTTGGCCCAAAATTGTTTAGTTAGTGATAAATTAACCTAATACTATTTTGCTGTAGATGGCTTAGCACTTGCTCTTGTTTGCTTTTCTTAATCGTAATCGTTGTTTGTGTTAGCTCGTATATGCAATTTTAAATAATAATAAGTGTTGGTCAAACTCAACGTGGATTAAGAGTGTTCATTCTATTAATTTGGATAATTTTGAATTAAATTATGTATATTAAATTAATTAAGTTATTTTAATTTTTATTACTCAAATCAAATTTATTAATTTTAAAATTTTAATTTGTTGAATTTAATTTAATTAAATTTTAAATTAATAGAATAGTAAAACATATTTAAGTTATATTAAATTTTAAACTTCTAGTCTTTAATATCTAAAATATGAAATAAATTAAATAAAATTATTTAATAAAATATTCAAATATCAAATTATTAAATTAAAATTGTAACTTATAAGATGTAACGATCTCATTCATTTATTTTTAATTTTATATTTGAGTTTCTTATATTTCGATTAATTTAATTTTCAAGCTAAATTAACTGAAAATTAATATTTATCAAAATTTGTTTTTGATATCAAACCGAAATTAATTTAATGATGAACGATCAATCAAATCAAATAAATTCAATTTATAATAAAATTAAATAAATTCAATTTATTAATTTAGTTAAAACTGAAATATAAACGTCCCTCCTATAATTTCACTTGTTTATCTCTTTGTTAGAGTCGATAATCTCACTTCGTGGAATGGGTGTGTGAGTAATATATTTTCTTTGTAAAAGCAAAAAAAAAAAAGAGTAAAAATCAATGATGTTTTCACTTACAGTAGTGAATTAACTTTTAAAAGCAAACTAACAATATTCAACTTGAATCCTGACTCTTATATTTAGGACTTTATCAAGTTCATTTCTCCTGGAACTAATGTCTAACAACCGACTTATATGTTAAACAACCAATGCAGTCGGCCATTCAAGAAGGCCTCTATTTTGGTGTGTGCAACAACTTTCAGGTGATAAACATTTGAAGTGGAGAATAAAAAAGGTTTTATAACAGTTATCAACATCAGTCAAATGCACAGGTATAAACAACTGCGTAATACTACACTCGCAACTACTTGAAACTAATCTAAAATTAATTCACCATGCATACCACTATACACTTTCCAACTTATGATGTGTTTAGCTTTCTGTGAAGAACTAGTGAGCTTTCCTTTATCCAATGCTCCAATCAACTTTACGAACCTCCATGACGATAGTAAAGAACAGACCGATAAATGGCAGCAACATGGAGAAAGCAGACGATAACTATAAGAAGATCATCCAAGAGGCCAACTATCCCCAAGATTGCTGTGATTTGACATCAAGCATTTATGATGTTAAACAATTTTTAGTTACCAACAGTTCCCAAGATAATTCATCAAAATATAATGTTACCTTCAGGAATAATATCTATGGGGCTGAAAATGTAGATGGCACTTAAGAACATCTGTGCAGAAGAAACAGAATAAGACCGTGTCTATAAAAAAATTGATAAAAAAGAATTCTTTTACACCAATTAAATACTACAGTAAACATCTAAGGCAATGAACCGAAACATAGAATCCAATAACTTATTCAATTTACTCTAAAAAATCTAATTTAACTGCAACATGATGTTTATCCTATAACAAATTCAATCACAAATTTTGGATGCCTACCAATTGCATTTAAGTATAAAGAAGCCATGCAAAAGAAAGAGTTTGGCTCGACTCACGTCATTTATTACAGCAAACAAGCTTGAGTTAAAATCTAGGCTTATTTACAAAATCAAGCTTGAATATGATCATACAGCTATGTTACATGGACTCAAGTAAGGGTATCTGGTACAGTTGTGTATCTAAAGGTTTAACACTCTAAATCCTCTTTCATCCAATATTTTGGACTCACAGAATTGGCTAGAAAGGGTCAGAAAATAGGATACAAATGAATAAATACGTCTTATTATAATATTATAAATTTTAAATTGGGCAACTTCACTGTCTTATTAGAAAGTTAAGAAAATAAATTTAGGCTTTTACTAGAAAATTAACAATAAATAAATAAATTAGGGGTTTGGCCCTTTATTTTGTAAAAGGATTAAATAATCAATATTATTATGTCGACCCAATGGTCAAGACGTATTTTATAATTCAAAAGATTTTAAAAATGAAAAGGAACACTGAACAAACCCACAGGCAAAGAGATCTCTTGCCTACCCATTCAAATATTTTCTCATCTTTATCTTTGCAAAGTAACTCTTTCTTTTTTTTTTCCACTACTCTTTGGCTCTTCGTTCTCTTCTCCTGTTCTCCTTTGTCTCTTTATCTCTATAGCTTTTACCTTGACAGGGAAAATACGAATCTGTGTACCATATACCATCAATATGAAGGACAAAAGCAAAAGCTTTACACATCTTCCAACCATCTATCAAAAACCAATCATCTGCATATTTCTTGTTTTTATTATTTTGTGATCAATTTGTTTTAAGAAGGCAAGTCCGTATGTCTACTACATGTTAGACACAAATTGTGTCTGTATCCTAGTCGTGTTGTCTTGACACAGGTATAGTGGCCAAAATTACCAAGTCTGAAAAAGATAGGCTTACAAAAGCTTGACCTGAAAGCTTGTGGGCCTATAATATGATATATATATATATGGGAAAACACTTATTTACAGTTGATTGTAATCTTGTAATTTGTATATTTATATTTGTATCTCTAGAATTAAATATTTGTATCCTTAGAATTAAAGATAAAAAAATAGGATAGATAATCTCTCAATTACAAGATCAGTTTTTAGAAAGATTTAGTTTCTTAGTTTACCTACTAGTTAGTTGTATATAAACCTGTGGGAAAACACTTATTTACAGCTGGTTGTAATCTTGTAATTTGTATATTTATATTTGTATCTCTAGAATTAAGTATTTGTATCCCTAGAATTAAGGAAGATTTAGTTTCCTAGTTTAACCCCTAGTTAGTTGTATATAAACCTAAGATTCTTGTATAATTGTTGATAAGCAGTTTTTCAATATACATTCAATTTCCACATGGTATCAGAGCTTTAGGCTCTTCTTGGGAAGAAAAATTTTCAGCCTTCATTGCTGACTTTTTTAGGCCTTCATTGCCGACTTTTTTAGGCCTTCATTGCCGAATCCTGTTTAGGCCTTCATTGCCGAACCCTTTTAAAGAAAGATATCACTATCACCCAATTTGAGGAAATGTTAACTGAAAAAATCACTGGAGTACTACAGATGTCTCAGAAACAAAGAGAGTTTAACAGGGAAGAGATTGAAAAGCTGAGAAACTTATTGAAAATCCTTGAAAAGCCTACTATGGTATGTTCTTTGGGTAAAGTTTCTAGTTCAGGTAAAGCTTCTGGTTCTCATGGATTAAATGTCTCGGCTAAGCCTATTACGAGTTCTTGGGTCATTGACTCAGGAGCCACAGACCACATGACACATTCCCCACAAAAGTTTAGTACATATAACCTGTGTCCTAGTAATAAGAAAATTGTTGTTGCTGATGGTTCACTTACCACAGTGGCAGGATTAGGAGATGTTCAAGTTAATCCCTCGTTTTTTCTCAAAAATGTTCTTCATGTTCCTGGATTGTCTACTAATCTGATATCTATACAAAAACTTACCAGAGATATGAATTGCAAAGTAACTTTTTATCCCTCTTATTGTGAATTTCAGGACCAGAGTTCGGGGAAGATGATTGGACTTGCTAAGGAGAAGGATGGACTATACTATCTTGAGACATCAAATAACACAAGTAGTATCAAAAATAGTTTACCTTTGTCATTTTTTTCTGAAAAATCTTCCAATAAAGACAAAATCTGGCTTTATCATTTTCGTCTTGGACATCCTTCTTTTGGAACCTTGAGAAACATGTTTCCTTCTTTGTTCAAAGAATTAAATGTTGAAGATTTTCATTGTGATATTTGCGAATTTGCAAAACATAGACGTGTGTCTTTTCCAATCAGTAACAAAAGAAGTTCTACTCCTTTTTACTTGATTCATAGTGACATTTGGGGTCCCTCTACAATTCTTAATATTTCTGGTGCGAGATGGTTTGTTTCATTCATAGATGATTGTACTAGGGTCTCTTGGGTTTTTTTACTTAAATCCAAATCAGATGTGAATAGTGTGTTTTTAAGCTTCCAAAACATGATCCAAAATCAATTTGGAGTAAAAATCAAGAGATTTAGGTCTGATAATGCAAAAGACTACTTCAACCAGAGTCTATCCACTTATTTTCAAAAAGAGGGGATTATCCATGAGTCATCTTGTGTTAATACTCCACAGCAGAATGGAGTGGCAGAGAGAAAAAACAATCATTTATTAGCCACAACCAGAGCCTTTCTTTTTCAAGCAAATGTACCTAAATCTTATTGGGGGGAAGCTGTTCTCACTGCCACACACATTATAAATAGGTTACCTTCAAGAGTTTTGGGATTTAAAACTCCTATGGAACTACTCTCACAATTTTATCCCAACCTCAATACCACAAACAATCTCACACCTAGGATATTTGGTTGTACATCATTTGTTTATGTTCACAGTCATAACAGGGGAAAGTTGGATCCAAGAGCGATTAAGTGTATTTTTGTGGGGTATTCTTCAACTCAAAAAGGATATAAGTGCTATCACCCTCCTACCAAAAAATTTTATGTGTCTGTAGATGTCACTTTTGAAGAAAATAAACCATTTTTTACTCAACCTTATCTTTAGGGGGAGACTTCATTCATGGAAGATAAGGATAAAGACTTCTTTTTGCTTGATTTGCCCCCTTCTTCAACATTTACACCCATTAATTCTTATGAGTCGAAACCTGTTTCTGCTGAGCCCAAGTCAAACATTGAATTTGAGTCTGAATCCATTCCAAATACGAAAGATGTGACAAAGGATAATATTGTTCTTGATTCTATGAAGGAATTACAGGTGTACTCAAGAAGAAAAGTTCCAGATCCTGAACCAGTGCCAGTCCAAGAACCTGATCCTAACTCTGGAAATGAGGTAACTACAGTTTTTGACTCTGTTTCTCAAAATGAGCATGAATCTCCTAAAACTATAGCTAGTGATTATGATTTGCCTATTGCCATTAGGAAAGGAACCAAAGAATGTACCAAGCATCCACTATACCCAATATCTAATTTTGTGTCATTTGAAAAATTCTCACCATCCCACAAAAATTTTCTTGTGAGCCTAAACACTATTTCTGTTCCAACTACATTATCCGAGGCATTATCCAGTGAGAAATGGAGGCAAGCCATGAAAATAGAAATGGAGGCCTTAGAGAAAAATCAGACATGGGAACTGGTAGAGTTGCCTAAAGGAAAAAATTCAGTGGGGTGTAAATGGGTTTTCACTGTAAAATACAAGGCAGATGGTACTGTTGAAAGGTATAAAGCCAGGTTAGTGGCTAAGGGCTACACTCAAACCTATGGAGTGGATTACCAGGAAACCTTTGCTCCAGTTGCCAAGATGAATACAGTTAGGATTTTGTTATCATTAGCTGCAAATTACAATTGGCATCTTCAACAATTTGATGTAAAGAATGCTTTTTTACATGGTGATTTGGAAGAAGAAATATATATGAAGGTTCCACCGGGATTTGAAGGTCATCTAGCAGCAAACAAAGTATGCAGGTTAAAAAAGGCTTTATATGACCTTAAACAGTCTCCTAGAGCTTGGTTCGGGAGATTTGCCAAAGTGATGCTAGCAATGGGATATAAACAGAGTCAAGGAGATCACACATTATTTATCAAGCACTCTGATTCAGGGAGAGTCACAGTTCTATTAGTGTATGTTGATGATATAATTGTAACTGGAGATGATGAAAAAGAGAGAGAATCTCTAAAACAGTGTTTGGCTAGAGAATTTGAGATAAAAGAGCTAGGGAGATTGAAGTATTTCCTAGGAATTGAAGTAGCTCACTCACGGCATGGTATTTTTATCTCACAACAGAAATATGTGATGGATCTTCTGAAGGAAACTGGGAAGCTTGCATGTAAACCTGCAAATACTCCTATAGATCCTAATCATAAAATTGGAGAAGCTAATGAAGATGCTGCTGTAAATAGAGAGATGTACCAAAGATTAGTTGGAAGACTCATTTATCTCTCACATACTAGACCTGATATAGCATATGCTGTGAGTGTGGTAAGTCAATTTATGCATAGTCCTAAAGAAGTGCACCTACAGGCTGTCTACCGTATATTGCACTATTTGAAGGCCAATCCTGGGAGAGGTATCTTATTCAAAAGAGATTCGGGGTTAGTTCTAGAAGCATATACAGATGCTGATTATGCAGGTTTAGTAACTGATAGAAGATCTACCTCAGGCTACTGCACTTTCTTAGGTGGTAATCTTGTGACTTGGAGGAGTAAAAAACAGAATGTGGTGGCAAGATCAAGTGCTGAAGCAGAGTTTAGAGCAATGGCTCAAGGAATTTGTGAACTACTATG